ACATTCAGCCTCGCGTGCTAAAGACTGTGGAGGTGTCGTGAAATTGGCTCCATCCTATTTATGCGAACTCAGGGCCGCGTACATTCCCAAGGCTATAAAGGTCGTCAGGGTTACGTTCATCTCGAAGGCCAGCTATCATGCTTCCCCTGAGGTCCTCAGGCCTATCAATCTGTCTCATGTTCTCATAAAAACTTTGGAGAGGCTGATTGACCTGCATATAAGAAACCGGATTCCCCGTGACTGCCTTCGAGAGCTGCACATGCCTATTGCAAGGGACTGTTGGTATTTCTTAATATTAAACGAGCAAGTCTTGTATATATATCGGCTCGTAACGATTTTGATGAAAATTTGTACACAGATAATGTTTTGGATCTTAAGGTTATCTGAATAGCCTCTATCTCCGATAAGACTTGTATATGGTTGCCACCTATTCGAAATAAGTTACAAATTAATTAAAACATCATAATATGGGTATCAATGGAAGGTATTTTAAAGATCCCTAATTCAAAAATATTTTTAATAAGGTTGCCACCTATTTTGAATCGTATCTTTATTTAATTTTTTGTTTAGAGAAAAAGGTAAAATATTACTATTCATGGATACCAATGTTACCATACCATGTTCTTAAACAATGCTTTCCCTATATACAAAATGTTATCCCTTAGGATAATAGTGTAAGGTTGCCACTTATTTTCGACTCTACGCAATTTATTAATTAAAAATTTCAATACGGGTATCAAATGAAAGGCATTGTTGAGAACTTTTGTCAATAAATATCTTCCATCGCTTCTATGTAATTCAAATTTATACGAGTCTTCTTGGAGATAGTGTCTATTCAGATAACCTTAAAATCCAAAACATCTGTGTATAAATTTTCAGCAAAATCGTTAGAGCCGTTCCGGCGAATCCTATGGATATATGTATACATATGTATATGCAAGAATTGCTCGTTTTAAGTAATACGACTAGTCCGTCTTATAAAGACTTCAGAACATTCACATCAAATGCGTTGCTATTCTTTCGATACGAGTTTTGAATTCTCTTTGGCATCAGGCGAAAAAATACTAATAAAAAATTATATTTTGAGCCTACTTTCAATTATTTCCTCGTCCGTTTTCTGCTACCAAAGGCACACCCATAGAATGATGGGTTTTCATTTCACTTGCCGTTGACCGATTATTTGCATGCTCCCGCATAAGAATTTGTCACAATTTCCTATACACTTTCCACACAGATGCACACATTATAAATAAGTGGTAACAGGTAATCAATAGAAAACCACTTGGAAGCCATAAGAATTACGCGTGTGCGCGTGAAAGTGACCCAAAAAAAAAAGGTACGAGGTTCAGTTCAATTTTCCTTAACTTAAAAATGTATTGAAATTGCAGATTCAGTTGGCGACAACTAAGCGGCGTAGTTGGAGTCTTTTCGCGACAATTGGTGGCCTGTCCAGGCTGCGAGTTTGTTGTGCGAAAACGGAATTATATAACGTTCAATAATCGGCGAAAAAGTGCTGGTAGAATTACCGAGCCCACAAAATGAAGCCTAAGAAAGGCGCATTTGTCAACTCGTCGTCGGGTTATGGCAAATCGCGGAATAGCTATCGCAATAATGCGGCTAAGCAGGAGGAGCCCGATGCCAAGCAAGAGGAGAAGTTGAATGCAGAGAAGGCAAAGGAGCTGCACTCGGAGAAGGATTTGAACTCCGGTTTTGGTGATTATATGCGCTCGCCGGAAGGTACTAGTAATATTCTGCTCTTGACACAAATACTTTTTGCGAAATAAAGCGAAAGTTAAGAAGAGAAGAAGAAGAAAGTTGAAAAATATATATATAAAATATTTGTCGAAAAATTAAAACTAACGAAAAAAAAACAAACTTACATATTTTTAAAAGGCAAGTATTTTGTTACAAAGTGCAACTACAATAATACATACAAATGTTGAAGTAATTTTCATAATTAGTGTTTTATAAAATTGGTAGATTGAAGTAAAACAAAATTAATTAAATTGAAAACACAGTGTGTGACGGAATTGAAAAAAAAAAAAAAAAAAAAATTTTCATAATGCGTAAAGCAGAGAAAAATTCTACGTGTTATTCTAAGCAAATTTACAGAAGAAACTATGGGTCTAAAATCAATTTGGAGTTTTCCATATTTCGAAAATAGGTTCCTTAGCATTTTGTAGAAAGATATGCTATGCAGAGTTTTTTGATATGAGGAATCTATTTCTGCACTTACCTTTTTCTTAAAACTTCCAGCAGCTGGCGCAACATTGAAAATTTTCACATTTTCTTTGAAACCTATTTTTGCAATTTGGCGAACTCCAAGCTGATTTTAGACCCATAGTTTCTTCGGCCAATTGGCGTAGAATACTCCAATGCAGTGGCGGCCACACTAATCCTAAAACATCTGCATAAGTGTGTGTGCCAAGCGCGTGAGAAGCGAAATCATAACTTCGTGCATACACATCGTTAGCGTTGGTGTGAAAATACGAACGAAAAACTACACAATGTGCAATTTTTGGCCGGCATTGCTCCAATGCTATACGCGCATAGTAAAAAAAAAATTGACCCGACCTAACATACAATATATGTGCATATATATACATACATTAGACCATATCAGAAAAAAACATTCGCCGGCACCCCTGGATCTAAAGTATGTTTGTAGGGCAATTCCGAAAACTCTTGTTTTCTGACCGAATCTAGAGGTCGCCTTTTTAAATTTTTCGTCATATCTTCGGCATTTACAGTCTGATCTTAAAGTTTGATACATGTATCAATCTCAAGTACCCGGCTCTAGTACTTACCCATCAAATCTCAGTTCCTACCACCCTAAAGTACGACCCTAATGCCAGTGAATTAAAGGTCACCAAAACTCACTTTTGCTAAAGAAATATTTCGATTCGACGGCAATCTCGATTTTTTTGCCGAACGTAGGGTGGCCTTTTTATACCCGAGCGCACTTGTGCACAAGGGTATTATAACTTT